AAGTTGTGAGCTAGAAGTGTTATTTGCAGTTGAGACTTGTGGCTGAGAGCTTATTCCGGCTGAGAGAACTTAGTAGCTGAGGTAAAAAGGTTATTATAATCAGATATAAGCACTTAGAGTAAAACTGTAGATAATATAGAGGATTAGCTTTAAGAATATTAACTTTATTTAATCTTTTATTAAATAAAAGCTTAGAAATATTTAAAAAGTAAAGTTTATTAACTTATATTAATTTCTTATTATACTTTTTAATATAACTTTTTATTAAATTGAACTTTTAAATACTAACTTAGCTTATATATAACTTAATTTATATTTACTTTTACTTATTATTCTTTTATATATAAGTTAGAAAATATATTTAAAAAGCTTCTAAAGTTTTTTTTAATATATTTTATAAAATCTAAAGGAAGTTACTTTCTTTATTTTATACTTTACTTTTTTAATAGTAAGTTTATGATCCTCTTTAAAAGCAGCGATTACTGGTTTATCAGAACATCCTCTAGGGGAGGATGTCGCGTTGTCGTATTGACTGCCATGCAGCAAGGCAGACAAAGACGGACCCTTGTAGCCAACGCTGCTGGCTCCTTTGTCTATGAGAAGATCTTGGAAGTCCATAGACTCTTTGTATGTCATAGCGCCAAGAATATTTTGAGGCAAATTATCGCCCAAGAGTTCTGTGAGCCGAGTCCAAAGATCCTGATCACTCGCCATGCAACCTCGAGCGTCCTTAACCAAGCTTGCGAACTCAATCTATGGTAGGTCTCCGAGACTTTTGTACTTAGCAAGAATTTGTGCAGTTGATTCAGTATGTCCAGGCGGAAAACCGGCAGGGTGGTTCTGTAGTCTGATGATGTAGTCATTAAGTTGCTGGGTTGCAGCTTGAATGTCGTCAAACAACTTCACACACTCTTTTGCGCAGTCGGTCCCTAACTGACGGTAGGTGATGTCGGCCTTGACATCAAGTATCTGAAACTCTGCGAGGAAAGACAGTGGCATTAAGTGGTAGACCAGTGGCCTTCCCAAACTGTCACCAGGTATACCCTTGATGATGTTCTGGGCACCGGCCAAGTCAGTAAGGATGGGAACTATGCCAAGGTTATCTCTAAAGACGTTAATCTCCGCAGAGTCTTCAAGACAAATAGGGGCACCATCTCTAAGTAGCTCTTCTTCAATCAGAGTGAGAGTTGCGGCTAATTTCTTCGAAACATTGCTGCTGTCTTCAGAAGGGTGGAGTTGTTTTTTAGTAGTGAACACATAGCGTTGACCCCAACTAATACCAGTCACGACGTGAGTAGCGACATCAGTGTCCAATTCGCGTAGCTCGATGCATTCCTTGACGCCACTTGCAGCGAAGTTGAGCTTCTCATATACAGTCGCGATATCGCAAAGTAGAGAGCACTGCATGGCATGGTTCGTGTCGCGTTTGTCGGACAAATAGAGACCAATCCCTGTACCTTCGCGAGTCCAGCTAGGATACTGACTCCCAATTCATCTTTGACGCCAAGAACAGCGAACTTGCCCTTCAGCGTATCATCAAAGATAAATTTGATGTTGGAAGACGGGTTTTCTGTAGTTTCCATAGCGTAGGGAGGAAAGGATTTGTCAGAAAGAGACATCCCAAGGAAGTTGTCGCTACGGGCATCATATAGACTTCCCAAGCTGGCAAGTTGCCCCAGAGCCGGGCGCTCGAGAGGAGACGCCATCTTATCGAGAGTAGACGGTTCCTAGAAACTAATGTATGGTGACTTATGAGAATAGGCAGCTTCTGAATGAAGACAGATGTTACGAGTGAGGTCAAGTAGTGAAGATGAAGGTCGATGTGCAGAAATAAGCATGAAATAAGGTGAGATCACGTAGAGAATGAATACGGGCAGTTTAACGGACACTAGGTCATACTAATACTCCCGCCATCTGCCCTTGATTGCTTGCAAGCGTCTGGGTTAGCCATTTTGAGGCAATTCACAGCACGCTGTTGGCCGCCTGGTGTAACAAGTCAGACGGCCAACAACAATAAACTTCCCGCTTTTTATACTCCCATCGCCGATGTGTGTTGGTTTACCGTACACAAATATGCATGTTGCCTTCAAACACTGTTATGGTTGGTCTAGGCCAATGCTTAGGACGGCCCGGAAGCGGATAGTATACTGCAGGGCGATTCGGACAGTCTGGGGACATGTCGTCTACCAAAGCCAAGATTGCCAGCAAGGCCCCATCTGAACACTGGAGGAGCAAGAAAACCTCTAAAGGTAGCTGGGAATCGGAGTCGGGTGCCAAAAGAGCAATCCAAAGGTCCAATAACTCTATGCTAACATTGCTCAGGTCTGCCCAAGATTCTCCAATACTTTGCCCACTCAAGATAGATGCCAAACGTCTCTTGCCTGGCCAGACATGGGAATATCTCAATATATCTACCTGCATGATTGTCCCAGAGATAGGTGATATTGTCTCCATTTAATATCCGGCGTAGCAACTCGATTTGGAAGTTCTCAAGCGTCAGCCTCGGTATAACTCAATCCGCCTTAGTGGGCTTCCTAGTGTGTTGTACAAATTTCCATAAGACTGCTCCATATCTGAGAATCTAAGATCTTACACCTTCAGACTTCATTCTCTAGAGCAAAGATGGCGCGACCAACTTCTGATTCGAAGCCCAAGCCATCCACATATTTATTCCTTTACAATACCCTCTCAGCCATTCTTCGAACAGTCCTCTTGCTCAGAACGACATATCTGTGGTTAACCCAAGGCAATGGCGCTGTGTGGGACGAACTCAACATCATAACTCGATGGACTGAGACTTTTACTGTCATGGAAATCATCCATGCTGTCACTGGCCTTGTGCGAGCAGCTCCTGCTACAACGGCGCTGCAAGTAGCTGGCCGGAACACCATTGTCTGGGCTATTACACGAAACTATCCGGAAGTTGGGTTCAGGGAGACTGCGTATAGTTTTATGCTCATGGCTTGGAATGCGGCTGATGCAATTCGATACTTTTACTTCACTCTTCAGACGGGAACGGGATCTGTGCCAGCTGGTTTGACATGGCTGAGGTGAGAAGCATGACGAGATGTGGCAGGTAAGCAAAAGAGACTGATTCTTCACAGATATAATATGTTTCTTGTTCTCTACCCCATTGGTATTCTCTCAGAGATGAAACTTGTGTACGAAGTCATCCAGCCCTCACAAGCTCGGAATCCAGCGTATCAGTATCTGCTTTGGTTTGGATTAGCCATCTACGTTCCAGGTACGTGAGCAATGACACTGCATATTACCTTCATACTGACATCATATCATAGCATTCTACATCCTCTTTGGGCACATGCTGGCTCAGAGGGCCAAGTTGAACCGCACCACCCTCAAGAAATAAATCTGATCTTGGGCATATCAACTGTCAATTAGAAATTCTAGCAAATATCAAATCTGATTGCTTGCAGAGTTTGGCTTTTATGCGATCTTGAGATCGGATTCTGCCAGTATTAGACTAGCCTGTCATGGATGGCGGTTAAAGTGGTTATAGCTTCAAATGTGTTGGTTCTGCGAAATCTAAGCGCGCGGTAACAACGAACCAATTAGACACTACTAATCCATGCAGAGAAAAGGGGGGTTTCAGAATGAATCTCGCAGTCTCAACACATAATCGCGAGATCGTTCTTTTGTAGTTATACAGCCAAGAAATCAACTCCACAAACCAAGGTTACAGTCTCAACTCCGTCCTCCAAGAATGCGCTCCTCATCGTGGACCACTCTCCGCAGAAGCAGTACATTTACTACCAAGTACAAATATGAATCAACACTCGACTCGACACATATTCGTCTTGTAAAAATCCGTCCGCGAACACGCAGCCTCTTATCGGAGAGGTTAAACATCGATGTGACCACTCATACTCTGGATGAAGCAGAGGCACTTGGCTACCATGCACTATCTTATACCTGGGGTGCACCAGAGGGAGAAAACAAGCGCAAAATTTCCGAGTCATGTATACTGGTGAACGGCAGTAGATTGTATGTCCAGCCGAACTTACTCGGGGCACTCAAGCGCTTCGAAGAGTTTGATTGGTATTTGTGGATCGACGCAATATGTATTGATCAGACCAACCAAAGGGAGCGCGAGATCCAGGTTGGCATCATGAGCGAGATTTACGGCATGGCAGCCCGAGTCGATATCTGGCTCGGTGATGGCGGAAGCGAGGCAGCTGAGGCTATTCGTTTGACACGGACACTTTCCAGCTTGGCTAAGGAGACACATGGAAGCCAAGTGAGCCTGGACAAAAGCGACATCGAGAGTTCAGGCCTTCCACCTATTCCTTCTGAAGCCTGGAAGCCCTTCGTTGGTCTTCTGGACCGGAATTGGTTCCGTAGAGCTTGGGTGATTCAAGAGACCGTCCTAGCTCGGCAGGCGTTTGTGTGGCTGGGAAACAGCGAATCCATCTCCTGGGAACAGCTCGCCTCAGCATTGATGATGATTCAAAAATTAGGCTGGTATCCCAACGCGACTCTGGCCATGGTCAAGGTGGAGCATATTTCATGGACGCCAGGACCCTACGCCATTCACTTCATCACCGTGATCAGGATGTCCCTCGAAAGCTTGAAAACCCCCCAAGATCACCCACAGATTTCTGTTATTGAGGATCTCACAGGCCCTAATAATTGGAAAACGACCGCCAGTTCTCACTTGGCTTACATGATGATGGTAGGCCATAAGTTCAAGGTCACGAATGCTCGTGATCGGGTTTATTCGTTACTGGGAATGGTCAATATTGCCGCAGGCCATATGGGACTTCCTCGATGCGATCTGGAAGTTAATTACGATGCTTCAGTTGCTGAGGTGTTTACAGCCGCAACGGCTCACATCCTGAATCATTGTAATCACCTCGGTTTCATCTCCTTGGCTGGGATTGCAGAATTTCACAATGGCACACTGAATTTACCTTCAGGGGATTTACCCTCATGGGTGCCTAATTTCTCCAACGAGCCATCTGCTGCCAGAACTGCCCCTATCCTTTTCCCCTGGGCCAGAGGCAAAGTTCGAGTGGACGCAGCACGATACAGCGAGATTGGCTCTCTGGGATTCAGCATTACTGGCTCGAGGCTCTCTGTGCAGGCCCAGCGTATCGGACAGATATCTCCATGGCCTTATCCATTCTACATGCTCGCTTACTACTTTCACGTCGAACCCTTTGCGGCCCTTCTACTACGGTGCGGCAAGCGTTACAAAATAACTGGAGAGTTCAGTATTGAAGCTTGTTGGCGTACTTTCATCTTTGGCGCAAATATACACGATTCAATAGATATCTCGGAGCTTGGGGCTTCCTTCAAAGCCTGGCTATGCTACATCTTATTTCAATACTTGAAGGTCTGGGACACCTCCACGACGGTCGACCAACGACTTGTAATGTTAGAACAATTGACAGACTTCCAGTCTCTGGTGGCCCAGGGTGGGGACGAAGCTTCCGATATGCTTCCCAATATTGAATGGATCAAACAGATGCTGCAAAGGTTAGGTGCCTCTGACCCTCAGGACTCACAGCTAGCTTCAATTTTTTCATTCATGGCGAGGACTTCCTCACTGGGGGGTTTTTCCGAGGAGTTTGACTCTGAGTGGACGTCTGTGGTGGCTAAGGAGCTTGCAGACACCTTTATACTGGCTGCTAAGTACGCGTCGATAATAGGAGTATTTGCTGGTCAGCGGCGAGTTTTCCTGACAGACGAAGGGCATCTAGGACTGGCTTTCGCGTCTGCACTAGAAGGAGACAGTGTCTGGGTGGTTTCAGCTTGTCCGGTGCCGTTGGTTATGAGACCTCGAGCTGACGGTACTTTTCAACTGATCGGAGATAGCTACGTTCACGGAATCATGGAAGGCGAAGCGATAAAGGATAACAGTTGGGAGGAAATCACCATAACTTAATACATGATTCCAGATAGCATTTTCATAACAATAAATAGAGACCTTTTCTGTGTTTTTCATCTGCCAAACCACAGATTACTTCGGGTCGATTTTCTATCCTCCGAAACCATAGATATCTTCTTTACACTCCAAGACTCGGGACTGGAAGCTAATAATCACCACACAGAAGTAATCTTCACAATCCCACAATATTGCATGACTTTAAGATCGCCAGAATAGCTAGCCTACTTGCGACCGTACACGTAACGCACGGTCATGTAACTGTGCACCTTTGGGTTGCGTATTGCCTTACGCAAACTCATGAGAAACACTTGGTATTCATCTTTGGGCCATTGGCAAACGTCCTGCCACATCATAAGAGTGTATCCTATTTAGGCGTGAGAAATCTATCAGTAGCCAAAGGTTGGTTGTCTTACCTTCCAAATCGTTCTCCAGCGTGGCCTTGACAAACCGCCCAACCTCGGCGAGTTTTGGATCTTTAGGCCAGCCGCCGATGGGAAACTGCAAAATACCATCTTAGTTAACTGCTGTCAAATTCCAGAGAATCGTACCTTGTAATCAACGGTCTCAATATCTTTGAATCCAGCCTCTTCAAAAGCCTTCTTTTGCAAATCGTGGACAAAGAAGGGGTTGCCTAGAACCTGACTACCATCTTCAAAGAGCTTCTGGTAAGTTTTGAAAACGGGTTCCAGCTCGGTAGTTCCATCATCACTGCGGAATGTGACATCGGCCTCCCCTGATTGGACCCAGCCCCCTGGTGCACAACATCGATATGCCTCGCTAAAGAGACTATCCCAGTCTTTAATGGCACCAAAGAGGTATCGTATATGAATAAAACTGAAGTAATCTTCCTTCCAAGTCCATGGTTGCGTGGCATCATCAATTTCAAACCGAAGATTGGGGGGTACCCATTGGGGTTGGCAAGGGGACAGATCTGTGCCAACTACCTCCGTGTTGGGATATCGGTCGGCAAATTCACTATAGTCTGTAAGCAGATGCTACTGCCATACTCGTCGGAGTCTCATACATAGCCCAGATTCCTGCGAAATTATTAGTGGTGGCTTAAAGAAGGGACAAGTGTGAACTCACCGCTTCCGGTACCAACATCAAGAACTCGCTACGAGAAACGTTATAGCAATCAGCATAAATACTTCCAAACAGCTTAATATTATTAGAGAGGGCCTCACCTGTATAGAATCGATCTTGAGAGGGGCAAGAAATAGCTCACCGTCCAGGAGAAGCGTCAAGTAGTGGTGTCTGTTGCTCGGTTAACACTTCGTTGATACACCTTGAGGCATGGAAGAAAGCCGCACGTTAAATCCATAGACTCTACTTGCTGATCATCATTGGGGAAGAAGTAATTCGCGGTGAATTTGTCGCTGTGGTATGTGCGCCCCTGGCTGCGACGGTACTCGAGGATACTAGCAGAAACAGAGGCAGTTGAGCTCTCACTGCGAGGACTGTCAGAAATATATATTTAATACGGACTACTATGACGTTAACTAACGTATCCGTTCCGATGGAAGAGTCGGCATCGCCATGGGAATCATGCTGCTCGAGTGAGTACTTTCCTCAACGTAAAGGGGGCTTAGAGGACGGACATCAGAATCGTCCGCAGGGCCAAGTTCGCCCTGGGCCGGTGGAGATCTCGACGGCGATTTCGAAGGAGACTTTGACGGAGACTTCGGATTGGCAGTGGCTGGTCCCGGCACTTCGGACGCCGTTGTATCTCTTGCAGATTGGTTCGACATGATCATGTAATGACAAATGCAGGGAAAGATAATAGAAGCAACACCATGAGACGAGGGGCAGAGCTTAAAGGACATGCATGTCTGAGATTTGAGGCCTTTTTCTAGCAGTCATCTTCAAACAGAGCAAGCATGACATGATATCATATCATATGACAAGAGGGGGTATCCCTGGTCGTTGTCGAAGCCGACCCATCAATTAGGATAACGGCCCGGGCGGCCCGGAGACCTGGCCAACTGTCAAAAGTCCGACTAACTACAATAAGATTGAGAGGTTATCCGAGGCTTCATCTCTACGATAGTCGTTCAAAAGGTTCTCCAGACGTTGGCTCATCATCAACTTCATATCATTGTCATCCTAATCTACAATCCGTTCAGTCTCTAATATCTAGCCTTAGCACTTGGTCTTGATGGCACCGAGCCAACCAAGCTGTTGCCCTTCCCTGAACACAAGAAGTAAGTTAACCTCGGCACATAAAAAGGATATCATTACCATTTCCTGGAGTTTTAAACAGCCTCACCCGTATTGGTAACGTCTCACACGCTCCCGGGGCGGTATCTGCAAGCCTTAGGGCTTCCGTGGTCTCTTGAGCAGGCAGCAAATTTCTCATGGGGCCAACGCACGACTCATTCACGGATACTACGGCCTAGGCTGTGAAGAGAGATCAAAAATCAAAGCAAAAGCCTCCCCATAACTATATTATCTGATAGCTATCTGTTCCTGTCATTGACACCACTCCAACCCTTTTTAGAAGGTCGTCGACCATTGCCTCGATCTGGCGTCTCTTTGCCATGATATCAGGCCTGCTAAGTTGTTCAATTCGCCTCAGCTTTTTTATGACATCTGAATAAATTCCATCGATAAGTCGGAGCCTTCCCTCTCCCTTTTGTGCTGAACCATCGTCTGAGATAATGGCGTTATTGCACATCGGAATCCATCCCACTTCCAATTCGTTCTCCAACGCACACAAAGCCTTCCAAACCTTGAGTTCGTTGCTGTTCATCGTGAGGCCGGGATTCTTAAAAGACTCCACGGTGGCAGTGGGCTTTCTGGACGGATCGGAACTGGATATCATGGCCGGATCATGGATGAATGGGCATTCAGCTCCGTCCATGCAATAACCATTGACCGAGAAGCTCGGACAAGATACTTGTTTCTTCTTGAGACCTTCGAGAGTTGAATTGGGCAGTTCCTCGTCACTGGCGCCTGGTATTGGGAAAAAAGGCCAGTCCTCATGAAGGTTAGTTTTTGGGGACGAATCATCAACGTCTAGACTCAGGGTATCCTCCTCCGCACATGGCGTTCCGCAATATCCACAACAGCGCCCGGGAAGAACCCATATCTCTTTACCTTCCAAGGCACAGGTGGGGCATCTAACTCCAGGTGTAGAGCTGATCACAACCTTGTGGTCGGCCTCTATAAATGGTTGGATAGGTCCAGAAGCATAAGGGGTATCCATTTTGTCGAGATCTGATTCGATTTCGGGGACTGGCGCTCCTTGTATCGCATCCATAGAGCCTCCAAAACTAACAACTTGGCTATAGCCCTCGCAATGAAGTTTGAATCTGATACAGTTATTGCATATCGGCTTTCCTTCGTCGCATTTTATTCGACGCCTACGGCATGCTATTGTCTGTATTAGTATTGCTGCTCTTAAGTCACACTTCCAATGGGCAGATTAATCGACTTACTTAAACATCCACTCTTTGTCCTTTTGCGAACACCATTCCTTTCACTATCTGTCTCATCTCTTAATTCACCCAGCTGGTTAGAGCCTGCAGGAGCCTTTTGATAGCCAAAAGATTCCACCGTAGCTCTTTGTCGTAACTCCGAGGAGAACTCTGCTCGTCGTTCGTCACGTTCTGCTTTCCCTTCGAATTCCATGTTCTCCTCAGTGCCACGACCATTATCCAGCACGGTATCATCACCAGCTGGACCGCTGAATGGATTAGAGTTCCTGAACTGCGGCGCTTCGACTTTTATTGTATCGCCCCTTGATACACCATAGTTTCGGATCGGCGTGCCATCGATCAATAGTTTAACGTCTTTGCAAGAAAGTTCGACCAGATGTCTAAAGCTCTCAGGAACATGCGTCATTCCCGCTGCGAGCTCTCTGATATTAGACACTCGCAGCTTGCCATCTCTAATGTCATGTCGTGAAAACTTAAATGTGTATAATGATTCCTTATGTCTAAGGTGCAGAACGTCCACATTAGCAGGATCGAAACTTTGTTTGTTCTCGATAGGGGCCATCATTTGGATGCGGCGGTGCGTTATTATAGGGTCTCCCCTCCCTTGCTCAAAAGACTCATCTGCAGATTCTGTATCCAAAGGTTTTCTCGAGTACTCAATGGCCATATCCATACCTGGATCTGATATTGAAGGTAGCTTTCCGTCATATTTCTGCGAGCGGACATAGGTCCAACCGTGAACCTTCTCCATGTGCTGCTTGCAGTTCATTTCTCGTTTTGACTTGTAGGGACAAGGCTTAAACGCACACTCATACCATTCAGGGGGGTTAGAATGTTTCTCGCGGTAGTGACGGTCCCTGTCGTCCTCTGTAACTAATCCATACTGATGATATTTACAGGTTAGAACTGGGCATTTCCATGGGCGGGAGTGAGTCTTCAGGTGCTTGATAAGATCGGAAAGACGCACGAACCACCTGTTGCAGCCGGGCTCGCAGCACTCCATGGAAAGGAAATCCTCAGGCGGAGGATTCTTGCGGCGAGCTATGGAAGTAAGGCCTGAGCCATCGGAAGGCCCGGTCATGACAATGAAAGGAAGACGTCCAATGCTTCGCTCAGATACATCTGTAGGCTCGTCTCCGCTCCCGTCAGAAAGATGGGTAACATAAGAGCTGGCTTTCTGTAACTCATCTCGTGACTCAGACTCCATTTCGTCTTGTCCCTGAGACTCGGAATCAAGCTCGTCGTTCTTTTCATCGAGTCCACCTGGGAGATGGGGCAATGCGAATAGAGCAAGATCTTCTTGGTGGCGACCAACATGGCGTTGGTATTGTTTAAATGAGGATTGTCTTTCTCCGCACAGGGGACAGTCTGCTGGCTCGTTCTCTGACTTGGGCCTCTCGCACATGGTGAGAAGGCTGGCGAGATGAGTCAATTTCATGGTTTCTGAATGCTTCTGCGCTAAATGATGCTTCATGTCTTGCAAAGAGACAAATGTCTCGTTGCATCCAAGCTTGCAGGTCCATGTCTTCCAATGGTATTTCTTGACATGACCTGCCCACTGGTGGCGTCTCTGGAAGTCTTGATCTGGGGCGGGACAACCCAGCTCGACGCAAATGTAAGGAAACAGGTCTGAGAATACGTGTTTCCTGCGGGCTCGGGTTAGTAACATCCAACTTTGACAAGGGAAGAGCAACTAACTTCCAATGATTTCTCGATGAAACAGACACCATCACGAAACAAAACGGGCACTCGAAGGGTCCATTCTCAGCTTCCGCTGGAAGGGCAGGTATCTTCCGCCTCTCTGGATTCGCAGCTGATGTGGCCCAAGACGTCTGTGATCTTCCGGTGTCTGATGCGTCATCCAAGTCTTCCTTCAAAGAGATAGGCTCATTTACATTAAGCTTCTTTGGCAATGAAGATGCCACAGTACTCTGCATCTGGTCCTTACCATCGAGTTCAAGCCCACTTGCCAGCTTTTCGTGATGCAGTTCTCTGTATTTAAAGTACTGTCTTCGTCGAGAAATGGCCTTTCCAAGTCTCTCTGCGATCGGTTTCGGAGCCTTGGAGAGTTTGTTGCACACATGCTGGACGTCAAATGGCTCGTAGCCAGATGTATCAGTTAAGCAGGCTTTCTTGAAGCGATCGTGAGGAGATGGATTGTGAATGGACACTGACAGTCTGAACAGACAGTTAATGTCTTCAACGATCGCAGCGAATATTTGCGAGAGCTCGGATAGTCCAGATACGTCAACGTTTAATGGTTCATCGTCGGAATCGTCATCTGAAAACTCAGCTGGGGACAGCTCTTGGTCCCATGGTGTTAATTGTCCAGTGAGAATGTCCTTGGCTATTGTTGTCAGAGGGAATATTGAGGAGCTCGATTGGAGAGACTTACCATCTCTTAAAGACTCCCTCAAGTCTTCCAAAAGCTCAGCCACCTGGTCCCGGATATTTGACGCATCTCGAAGCCTGTGATCGAACGAGCTTCTTCCTTTTTGATGGGCGCCAATGTTTCCACTCCAGACTTTGAATCTGCTCAGCTCGTTCTGCAGCTTCAAGAGTGATATATCTGCCTGGGCATCACCATCAGGGATGCCATTTTCCCATATGGTAGGTGAGCTGCAAAGACTATTGAACTCTTGGAGACAGGCCGAAACGTGATCAGCAATAGTGCTCATGGTTGTGTAAGGAATGAAGACAATGCGCTGCTACCCTCGAGATTCATCGATCCAGAAGATGTGGAAAGAAGATCGGAGTGGCAATCGCCCTCTGGCGACCCATGAGAAGGTGTTATCTGCAGGTGCTGTTGGTCAGACCAAGTTCCAGCTGCACGTCAGCCGCAACCCCTCTTCTTTTCAACCCTTGATCAGCGCAGCTGAAAAAGACCAACCTCGGAGCCTTAAAAGTCCTTCTCTTGCACTCTCATCCCTCCATCACCGCTTTATAATTTTGTTGCGATGTCTGGCTTCGAGGTCGCCGGTATCGTGCTCGGTAGCATACCTATCGTCGTGTCTGCACTACAATGCTACATGAACGGTCTCGGCACCCTGCAGAATTTCCGATCCTACAAACGAATCCTCAAGAGCCTCATCTTGACTCTCAAGACCGAGCATGTCAATCTTCAGAACATTTGTGAAAAACTCCTAACAGGAATTGCGCCACAAACGCGAATTGAGGAAATGATACGAGATCCGTTCGGAGACCTATGGAAAAAAGAAGAGATCTTCAATAAGCTGCGCCTGAGGCTCTGGTCATCTTTGCAGGTATTCGATGATCGGGTGCAGGACATGAGGGAAGCTATCGAGGAGATGATGGAGAAGCTCAATGTTGGTCCAAGCGGCAAGGTATGAGGCTATGGCCAACCTTGTGTGTGCCTCAGCTAACGGGAACAGGCTGAGTGGGCAGAGAGCTCATCGATAAAAAAGCAGTTCAAGCGAGCAACATTCATCCTTCAAAAGTCAAATCATGAGGAGGTCTTGACGAGGATTCGAGATGGTGTGTCAGCTCTTCAGCGCCTAGCAGTCCTCAACACGGATCTAGAATCACAAAGAAAGTCTCGGTCACAAGGGAGACTCAACAAACTCGTCAACGGAATGCTGAGTGGCATATATCATGCACTGCGGTCTACAATGACTTGCAAATGCTCTGGCCTACATGATGTTGGCTTGAGGCTTACGCCGCCATCACGGACTGTTGTTCCTGAGGATGATGATGAGGATATTATGAAGGAGCTGCAGTTCCGCCTTGCAGTCTCATACCTGACGGGATCACAAGTCAATACATCAAAGCAATGGAATGAAATTCTTCTGAAGAGTGGAGAGGATGTGAAGAGGTCGACGGTTGCTTTCACGGCGCAAAGTACATCTACTTCGAGGAAGACGGTTGGGTTTTCCGTTCCCTCAACCACCTCTTCGACAAGCAGCCAGCATTCACAAACAATTGTCATCGAATCAGCCTTATCAAACCTCACGTTCAACACGCTTAGGACAATGTCAGAGCCTGTTTGTTCCAAACACATCAGCAATCTGTGCGAAGCAATGCAAACGATGGGGAAGAGAAAACGGGGCGAGAGATGTGGGCACATCCAACATTGCTACATGACCCAAAGTCAGAAGTACGATGTTTATACTCTCGAATGTCTAGGCAGTTGTGATGAATGGTCTTTGGTACCACTAAAAGAAGTGCTTCGACATCCGGCGTTGCTCTACGGTGACAAGCTACGCCTGGCTTGGATGATTACCTGTGGTGTCTTACAGATGCAAGGCACGCCTTGGGTTGCAGACATTCCAAGAAGTGAGGATATCTTCATTGCTCAAAAGGGTGGTGTTCATCAATTCCAGCATGTTTTTGTCCTCAGACACTTCCCCGAGTATCCTAAAGTCAACGCCTCAGCATCACCAACCAACCCGTTCATGCTTTATCTCGGTATCCTACTCATCGAGCTCATTCTTGGCCAGTCAATAGCAACTCTGGATTCACCCCAGACTCAAAAATTAGAGCCCGGGTTACCAAGACATATCCTTGACTACGAAACTGCCAATAAGCTTTTGGGACGAGTCATGATGACTGGTGGCTCTGGATATTACAATGCAGTCGAGCGATGTCTACGATTGGATATGCAAATTGGTGCGTCTGGGAACTCTTGTTGCTTTCAAGGGGATGTGATTTCTGGAGTGCTTGGTCCGCTCGAGCAGGATTTACGAAGATTGGTTGCATGATCAAAGTTTGAATCATCGGCTCAAGCTTGTCGTGCGCGCGATGTTGAGTGGCTACACTGGGAAGGTTCGATGGTCTTTCAAAGCATAACAGTGACTCACCTTTCGTCGAACCTCAAATGCCGACATCCGCAATTCCGCGACCATCAACGAACTCTTCAGGCGAAAAGCGAATACTGAGCCCGCTGAGCAGACCTACCGTCAGACATCACGCCCGCCGCAACGAAACATGCCTTGCTTCGTCTACATCAACGGCTACCCCGGCATCGGGAAGCTCACAATCGCGAGGGAGCTCCAACGATTACTCACCGACTCAAAGGTTTACCACAACCACCTCCTCATCGACCCCGGCGAGGCCCCCGTCGAGCGCTCGTCTCCAGGCTATCATGAGATGCGAACGGGTCTACGACGATACGTCCTGAACGAAATCGCGACGTCGGAATACACGAAGGACAAAACATGGATCTTTACGGATGCACGAGAGGCAAGCGCGGCGGGAGAAATGGGCGCGAAGGATTACGAAGCTGCAGCGAGAAAGCGAGGCGTTTCGTTCATATCGATCGTGCTGGAGTGCGAGATAGAGGAGAACATAAAGCGGGCGAGCAACCCGGCGCGGAGTCAGAACGTAGACGCGAAGCTCACGGACGAGACAATATTGAGGCCGATTCTGGAGAACGAGACAATCTATCGCTTCGGGTACGAGAACGAGTTGGTGCTGGATGTCACGAAATTGAGTTCGAAGGAAGCTGCCTTGCGGATTAAGGAGCATGTCGATCGGTTGGCTGCATGTCCGTCGTGAGTCGCATGGTTGTCCTTCCTGCGCCCGCTTCGCTCGGGTCGAGACAACAGAAAGCCAGGCGCAAATCAAAGCGTTTGGAAGAGCTGCATGTTGCGCCGAGATGCACTCAAGAAGACACCTCTCTAGACTCTAACCATGTGCGAGAAGGTGAATCACTAAAGATAGCAACGATTGAGAACCACCCAACGTGTGTTAGCATGAACCAACAGCGTTCATCAATTGGCACAGATTCCGTCGGCGGCTGCATTTGTCGGGCACCGAGTGCGGCGCAAGCCGGTGACTAGGCGATACAACGTAACGTAACGGTCAAGTGTCTCTCGTCCAAGACACCAAAAGCTGAGACAAGCTCCACGACTCAGCCGCACCCGAAAGCGAATATTCAGTGGCTAAACAACGCGCGGTAGAGGGAATCGGTCCCCGCGGATTTGGACAGCTTCAAAAGTTCAATTCATTCGCCGTTGTTGTATTCGTAAATCGTGGCGGTACCTGCACCTACTGTAGGCGCGCGCGTTGATCGTACAGGGCGCAGGGTTCGGGAATACAGCGGCAACTTGCAAGGAGTGTTTCATGACAAGACAGGACAAGAACAGGACAAAGTCGCAAGGCTAACATAACAGCCTGAGGATCAGCTCTTTATCAAGAATACGGTGAGGGCTCCGTAGCAATGGACAACTTATACGGAAGATCCTATGAAGAGCCATGGCTCGTAATCTTGGTGATAGCGCTTTAACAAACTTGACTCATGCTCCATCAGGCATTTGCTAGTCTGCAAACTTCAAGCCCAACCTCTTACGCCAAGGGGGACCCTTCATGCAGGAGTGAAGCTCAGCCATGGAGGACGCGCAATTGCCAAGCGCTGAACCCCTGCAACGTCAATTCGCAGTGGAGGCACCAAGACCCTTAGCTGAGAGAGACCCAGAGACTGCAATTTAACATTTTAGAGTGAAAGACGGAAAGGCTGTCAAAACCCAATATCATTTGCCGACTCGTAACGGAACGTGCCGGCATAACAGTCGCTAACTAGCAATTAGCGCAAGCCCAGTACTGTAACAAGCAGTGTAAGAGCCAACACAGTCAGTAAAGCGCCTGTTGAAGATGCCAAGACTGCTGTACGGTTAAATCGGCCTTGGTGCGCGGGATTCCCGTTATTACGCCAAGGTCACAGCAAAGAGCCAAGAAGGATACAGATCATCTGGCGTCTCGTCTCGTCTGCAACTGCGCCCCCTGTGACCCTTTCCTTCCCGCTCCAGATGGCAGATAAAACAAATGGGCCTAATAATATAACTTGACGCTCCCTTCCTGTCTCCAACTCTGCCATCCCATCTTACACACATTCACAAATCCCATAAACCACATCTGTCATAATGGATCCCAACCAACAACCGTAAGCTCTCGGTCACTCGCAAAGAGAAGAAGAAGAAGAAGAAGGGAAAGCTAACGTCCAGACAGCTACTACCCTCCTCAGCAACCTCAGGGCTACCCTGCTCAGGGATACCCAAATCCCCAGGCCTACCCCCCCGTAAGTTTGAAGCTCAAGTAGAAGATCACCAGTTTCTGACGATGCGTAGATGCAGTACCAGCAAGCCCCTCCACCACAACAAGAAGAGAAGAGCCACGGATGTCTATACACATGGTAAGCCTCACTCACTCTCTACTACACCTGTCAACAAATACTAATAAACTACAGTCTCGCTACACTCTGCTGCTGCTGGCTCTGCGGCGAGACCTGCGAGTGTTGTCTTGAGTGCTTCGACTGCTGCTGTTAAACCTCACCAACAAACATCAACATAGCTTAATTCACGGATTCTAGCGTTGCATTTGTTCCAGAGCTCGGGGGAAAAGAAACGCATTCTCTTTTTTCTTTCTTTTGTCAACCATGTTTTATCTCTAGCTACCCCGTCATCATACGATAGTGTCAGTGTCAGCTACCAAATACCACCACCACATGCAATGATAACCTGTTTTCACGTGTCTGTTTAATTGGGCGGGGTTCCCACTCTGCAACTCTGACAATTGACGTTTGTTATGCATTGGAAGTACCTATACATTACACATTAATAAAGTGAAGTTTGTGACTGAAGATGAAATGTAATTACTCTTGGCTTTGCTCGTCTTTGATCTTGGTGCAGTCGCACTCAGCGGGACATGACGTCGGCTTTGGCTTTATCGTCGATGAAGCAGTCAGATTTGGCTCTCTGCATGGTCTGCATGCTGCGTTGGTCAAGCATTGTGCGTATCTGAGCGTGTCAGCAATGAAACCCGATTAGTATCATGGACTTACTCATCGCTGTTCTTATCTTTTATCCTTGTGCAATCACACTCAATTGGGCATTTTGCCTGATTGCCTGTTGTAGGCGTCGGTTCGTTGACGACGATTATCCTAACTAGGCCTGTTGAGACTGTCTCGGTGTAAGTGCCCGCCGGCATTGTTCTGTAGTCTGTCTGAGGACTCATGGCTCCGAGCATGTCGGTAGGTTCACCATTGTCCCTTGGTATATTCGCATGGGGCTTGAGAAGCGGCTCTTCATCTGGTCGTGGGATACCTTCTGCGACGCCCAGAAGCATCAGTACGCCAAGTCCTTGAAGAGACAGCATGATTCAGGCAGTATCTGAATGAGCGATTGCGGGAGTATGATCATGCGAATCCCAAAGTCCCAGCGGTTTGGTCCTGGGTTTATGTAGTCACCCTTCCCAACCACTTGATCTCACACAAACAGCCGGTGCTTTTGATCACACTCTACACACGATTCTGCGCAACGGACCTTCTTTCATGGTAGATAGCGGTGCTTCGCCGGATCTGGTAGAGTTCCTTGGTCGCTGGGCAACCTCAACGGTTGTATCACCACCACGGTGTTGATGCTACCGGCGTGGTAGACCACGCGCAATAGTCTTTTACATCATGGCACTACTGTGATTTGGTTCGTGTCAGCTCAAAGATGTGGATAAGTGTTTGTGATGGCGATATTGTGTTTGTACAGTTCATGGTATTGGTAAGCAAGGGAGGCTCATGATGATGAGCTTTGCTCAGGAGCATCTCAATATCTCTCACTGTATCGAGAACTCAGAGCTTCATAAATATTGTGTATTCATCATAGCAAACATCATATACCACCTTGAAGACGGGATCTCCTGCCCAGAGCCTCAAACAGCAGCCATATTCGCTTCAGCCTCAACACCAAGACTTCACCATATCAACAACACCCTTCCTTCGATCGTACAACCTCGCCGCGCGGCCCTGATCTCTGTCCAACACCGTTACCATCAGTACCACGCCCATCACCACACCTTATACAACAACCCTAATCCTATTTCAGCCCTGCGCCTCGCAATATCTACTCAACTCAGCTCCCCATCGCGAAAATGTCTCGGCCCAACACCGTTACAAACCACCATAATTCACCGAGCGGCAATCCCAAGCGAAACAAAAAAAAAAACAGAACGCTTTGTATTCTATAAGAAAATTTTCACTGCTCAAATATCGTTTATCCAAATACTCTTTTTTTACTTCTTCACATCACTGACACTTTGTTTCCGTCGCAGCACAAAATCCTTCATCCGTGACACGCCCCTCCAAAACGGCCCGTCCACATCAACGCCATAAGCCTCCATCACGGAGAGCACGGCGTACGACTGCATCCACACCAGCACGCAGAAGTCAAAGATGTGCACGAACCACCAGAAGTGCTGGCTTCCCAGCGGACACGTGGCGTACTCATACTTCCACTCCCAAGTATTCTGGTCGAACCAGAGACTCAGTAGACCGGCGTTTCCGCCAAAGTCGCCCATCATGCTGCGGACGGTGATCTCGCGTCGGCCCGGTATGCCATCGGTGCCTGGGATCTTGAGATCTTGTGCGTCAGACCAGGTTTTCACTTCCCACTGACGCTGGGAGGGGTCTGTGCCGTTTGTCTGGTTGATGTAGTGGTACGTGTCGCAGCCGGCGTGATCGTGGCCGTTGAGCATTAGGCCTGCGCGGCCGTAGCCACCGCCGGGGGCTGTTCTCTTTGAGCTCATGCCCCAGATTCCTTCCAGGAAACCCCGACTGGCGTCGGAGCTGAGCTGGTTTTGCTCCTTGAGACCTCCGCCATCTGCTGCAGTGTGGAAGTCGAAGAAAGGAGCGTCAACACAAATGCCTGCTGGCTTGTACATTGGGATATGCGTGAGGATCAGAGTGAATTGACCCTCATATTGAACAGAACCTGCGGTCGAAATGACGTTGTTGATGAAACCGTATGTCGCATCCTGTAAAGGAAGGGACTTCGCCGGTGTATCAAGGTTCATATCGTTGACAGCAACAATGCGAAGCTCGGGGATGACTCGTGTCGACTCGGGGTTCGAATCAGAGTACATCGTAGCTATCACCTCGGGGTCCGTGATGGGAAGCTCGAACCGCAGCTCATAGTTCGCCTTTCCAAAAACTCGTTCAAAGCGCTCCAATCGCTCCTCGGTCAAATCTCCAGCGTATCCAATATCGTGGTTTCCGGCCACGTTGAGCATTCTCTTTTTCCAAAGCTTTGCTTCATCGCTACCATCCAAGATGCCAGAAATATTGTAATCGTTGCTCGGGTTCTGCGCCAACTCGTCGGATAATCTCTCGGTGCCCTTGAACACACGGTTCCAGAATCGTTGGCCTCGCTTCTCAAACTCCTTGTCGTCGATCCATTGACTACCGACAAGATCGCCCAGTACCGACACATGGGTAGGGTTGGACCACCAATTGACTTGGCGGTAGATATGCGCCAGGTAGAAATCGTTGCCCCAAAGATCAAACCTCTTGCGCTGTGACATGAGGTAGTAGGGGAGATCCTCCATGATGATATCGACAATATCGTGTATGATCTTTCGCACTCGCTCGCGGAAGCACCAGTGACTCGTCTGGAACGTAATATGCTTAAAAACACTCTGCACATGGGGAAAAGTTCCCAGGTAGTTCGTAATGATCGAGGTATCGCCTTCTAGCTGAGGATCTCCCAGCGCCAGGAGTCGAAAAGGCGCGAGCT